TACGTCAATTACCGAAACCTGGTGTCGACAAACGACGCTGAACAAAATTGGAATGAAGCCCAATGGCAACATTTTTTGCCGATACAGAGCAAGCAAGCGTATTAGACCAGGGCGGTGGCTTCCTTTCTGATGTGGGGGGGGGGGGGGGAGGAGTCTAAGAGACCGTGACACGCCAAATATTTGTCACCTGGTTATGCTCCAAGGTCGGGTCTAGGAATTAGGGCTCATTTCCCAGGCAGGAGCAGGGCCGAGATCCGCAATCTACATTGGTCGGAGTCCTTAAGTGAATATGTGTCGGTCAGGAAACCACAATGCCTAACCAGGGCCCTGCATTGACAATAAGCCCAGAGTCGACCTGGGACAGTGTTCGAGGGTCCTATGTAGGAGCCGAAATGCCCCTCCGGATGGACGAGCAAGTACTCGATTGGAGCGCACGAATGCAGAGTCGGGCCGTCAAATGTCAGTTAGGGGGCCTCGCACCGATTGGGATACCCTAGCACGCTGCGTTCTCTATTTCTGTCATAGACCACCAACACCGAACAGTCGGCCTCCGTGTATATCTGAGTCCTGGGGGTCATTTCCCAAGCAGGGACATGGTCGAAACTCGCGATTTGCATTGGTTGGGACCCCTGAAGCAATTAGGGCTTCTTTGTTGGTCAGCCGCCCGCAGTGACTAATTAAGGGCCCAGTGTTGGCAAGAGGCCTCGAGTCGTCCAGGGAAACATTTCTTGGACAGGAACAGGGATGGAATCCCGAAAGCCAGGGGCCTCTTGCGTTTGTCGAAGACCTCTCACAAGGAGAATGGGAATGAGAGTTTGCTATGAAAGTCCACAAAGCGACAATGGAAGACCCTTTGTCAGGCAGGGCCGCGGCACCGAACGGTGCTCTCCCTCTCATTTCAACCAGATACCATTTATACCGAACTGTATCTCGATGCCAACTATTGAGGCACCCGCTACGATAAGGGATATTCCGTATCAATGAGGGCCTTTGCGCTTATCTGAGGTCGAACGGCCAGGTCAGGGGGCCTCCGGTGTCATGTCGGCGATCTATATATATGTGATGCATCCTTATGAAGGTTTCCGTATCAGCCTGGGGTCCTGGGGTCCCACCCTTGTGTCACCGACATGGCAGCCGGCAGGCACCCCACGCTGTAACCGAATGACCCTGAAGCCCCTGACCCGGGTATATAAGGCCCCCTTTTGGGGCACCCACTGGTTCTCGTGCCCGAAATAGGTAAGGAGTTTCCTAAATGTTTGGGCTGCAGTTTCCATGAGATCGAGCGGCGTTGCCGGCTGCAGGTGCCGGGCAGAGGGCACCAGCCGCCCGGGAACAGCCGTGGTGAAATAACGCCTGCAAAAGTCTTTTAAAATCAATGCGAGCCGTTAAAAATGGACTGCGGCGTATATCAAACTTGCGTAATTTGGAGCTTATCCTTTGAAGAGATAACAGCGGCAGCGACTTGAAAATGGAGTTCCTACCTTTACTTGCCTAGGCCCTACCATCACATTCCAGGACCGGTCCGCGGTGCTGTGAATGCTAATCCACCCCTATTATGAATATCAAGATTGCTCAGGTGAAACATATTTCAGGAACACCTTCCAAACGTGCAAATTGGCATCCTAAAGCGTTCAAAGATACCTGTTTCGGACTGGCGTATCCATGCGAAGCGCGACCAGAAAGCTCGGTTTCGTTCTCTTTTTTTTGACCAGCAAGCAGTCGACTCGTTTCGTCGTCTTTCATTCGACCTCAGGAGTGAAGGCATGAGGAGGCGTAGGTCATGGCATGACCAGAGACCATTCCGGACCGTCCGAGATGCGGGCTTATGCACGGTGGTAACTGGCTCTATCCGTCGGTGGACAGCGCCTCAGGAGAGACCAGGACACAGACCGTTCTCTCCCGACGGGGAACTCGTCGGGCCTCATAAGCCCTTGGAGGTGGACTGCTCAGCACGGATGGGAAGGGGGAGAGGGTGTGTGTGTGTGTGTGTGTGTGTGTGTGTGTGTGTGTCAAGCTACCAGGTCGTCGGACAGGCTGGTCAGGCTGAGTCTGCAGAGTGCACCGACCGTGGAGACCGTTAGGCGACAGCGCAGGTCACGCCTGACCCTCTGCCGAAAGGCTCCACCGTCCCATCAGGTGCGCTCTGTCGTCCAAAGGTAAAACCCCATATGTTTATTTCTAGCCATACTGCGTTTTTTTTTGTCATCTGGTTCGGCTTCTGATGCTGAGTTCGGGTATACACACTAATAGTTGAACTTTTCACAAGCTTTTAGCTCAAGGAAAGGGCTAAATGTTTGTGAAAAATTCAACTGCTGGTTTAGATAACCGAATTCAGCATGAGTAGACGAATCGAATAACATAAAAACGCAAAATGACCAACAATAAACATATGCGGTTTTACCTTTGGACGACAGCAGCTGTCCACCTCCAGGTCTCTGAGAGGACGCGCTGTGGGGCGGCGCCTCGCAAAGCCCACTCCGGCATGCGGGAGGCGAGGGCTCAGAAGCGCCGGAGGCGACGCCTGCTCACTAGACGGGACGCTGGTGCAGGCGTGGCCGAGGGAGTAGTGGGCCACCCCATTGTGGACGAGACGCGAGGGAAGCGTCGTCGAAATGGGGAGACGTGAGCCTGGAGCGAAGAAACGAGTCGTCGTCCAGCTGTGGTACACCGGATGCCGACCCCACATGTCATCAGGGTCTGGATGCATGACTTGATTGCTGCTCGCTTGCACCATGTTCATTTTTCGCTTGCTTGTCTCGCTTCTTTCCTTAAAACCACAATCAGCCAACGAGCCTAATGCATTGAAACCTAATCCATAGACACACATATAAGCAGGCGGCGCTTATTTATATTTACGCAGTACGACTCTTCTCCGTGATAGTCCTAATAACATACCCTCACATGTAACGTGACCTGCCCGGTGCGTGACCCCGACCCTCAACCCCGTCGCCTGCGTGCCCCCACCCGGCACATGGCAAGCCCATCATGTCGGGTTAGTCCCATTTAAACTGCCAATTTCCCGGCAGAGTTTTTGCATCTTGTTGGCGTCTGACAAGTGTAGCGAGGCGGGGGGGGGGGGGGGAGGGGCGGGAGAATTGCGGGGACGTGGCCGAAGAGGGATGGAGACGGAGATAAGACTGCAGTACATCAGCTATTCGTCGCAGCTTTCCACTCGCATCTTGATGGCTGCGTCAAGCGGATGGTCGAATGCAAAGCGCCTCCGTCCACTGAGTCCCCCCCCCCCCCCCCCAGTCCGATTGCCGTTCTCTCGCTGAGTCCGCGCTGGCCCTGTGAGTCGCTGTCCTTTCGAATGCGACGCTACCGCGGGTTTTGTTCTACACACCCCTCGCTCCAGGTTCCGGCCATCAGCTTAGTTCACTCACATCCACGTCCACGTTCAGGTCCGTTTTGAATGCGCTCTTTCCTGGCTCGAGACAGGCCCACGGCTTGGGATAACGTGTGTCGGAATTCCCCAGGAGTTCCCCGGGGTGATGCCTGGCCCTGGGGTTTTGCTGGCATGGCGTTCTGCTCGGTACTGACTGGCTTGAGCTCGGGTTTGAATCCGGGCTCGGACTCCGAACTTGCCCGCGGCGGGTGGATGATCAGCTGGCTCGGCTCTGGTCGTCTGCTCGGCTCTGCACGGCCTCCTGGGTCGTCCGCTGGCAGTCAGTCGACACCCGGCGCGGCGTCCACGCGGGCGGCGAGGGACGCGACCCCGCCGGATGCCCCGGCGTCAGTTACCCTCTGCTTGGCACATGCTTTCAGCACGGGGGGGGGGGGGCGTGAAGCTGTCATACCGAGCCACATGCTGTGTTTCCACCGGGCACGTCTCGTCGCCCCTTGACGATCGTGCTGCCGACAGGACTGGCAGCGGCCCTTTCGGCGCGGCTTGTGCGTTCAGTCGCCTCGCCCGGCCGGCTGACCCGTAGCGGCCCTTTCGACGCGGCCTGTGCTCTCAGCCGCCTCGCCCGGCCGGCTGACCGGTAGCGGCCCTTCCGGCGCGGCCTGCGCTCTCAGGCGCCTCGCCCGGCCGGCTGACCCGTCGCTGGATTTCTGGCTTACATAAAGCGACCCGGCTGCTATGCAGAGTAGGGATTGCAGCGTGGTGGGGTGGGGATGGGGAATAGAACAGCAACGATGCGAACAAAAGACCCTGGGGCAAGGTGGGCTGATGAATGACCCTGTGAGTCGTATTAGGTATTAGCGTACTAATACCGCCTCGGCATTAGTACACACACTAATTTTTACGCGGTATTAGTTAAAACGTAAGCTCTGCCTTGCACATCTAAATGCGTAAAGTTCAAGTATGCAACTGAAAAGCACAAAGATGTGGAGTCATTTTTTTTTATTTCGGACAGCGCAGCCTGTCATATGCAACGCGTAAAAATAAAATAATTCAAGTAGGTGCAGTGCCTAGCACGCCATTTGGTTCCGACCTCACAAACTGCAGAAAAACAGAATCGCACACATCTGTTCATCCGTTCCGCGCGATGTAAACAAAAACAAGCCAACGTCGCAAAGCAACGGAAAGTGTGCCTGGTCAGTACACATAGAAACCGGCTAACGAAGCCCAGGCCCGACACTTGACCCCATCCCCAACACTAAGCGCATAAGCCCGCATCACTTCATCCCCTGCGTCCACACGAATCTGTACGCATAACGTGTCCCGTGCCTTTGGTTGTTTCACATGCAGGAAATTGGTTTAGGCGCGATCATCTGCAGGTAACTGCCCGCGCTTTCCTGACAGCTTTTGTTGTTGTTGAGAGCCCAAACACAGACACCGCATCGGCCCGGACTCACATTTCAGGACACCGGAGCCATCCCCGGCGAGGGGCGCGGCAGCGTCGCGCTTCCGACACCTGATGCCGTGTCTGGCCCGCCCTTCGTCCCGACACCGACCCCCCCCCCCCCCCCCGCCAGACCTGCTGCGGTGATCGCTTCCGCAGCCAGAGGCCCCGACGGGAGCCCTCCAGGCACTCGCGCGGCTGCCGCCGCCGGCGCTACTTTTTGCCGGTGACGGCCAGGTAGTGGTAGTTGGGCAGCACCTTCTTGAGGAAGTCAAGCTGCAGCGTCTGCGGCGGCGGCCGCTCGGCCTGCACGCGCCGGCGGTTCTGCTCGCCGAACACCACCGTGTTCTCCGGCAGCGTCTCGCGGTTCTCCAGGCAGCAGCGGGCGCCCACCACGCATCCGTGGCTCACGCTCGTCTCCGGGCCGACGCGACTCTTGCACTCGAACACGTTATTGTCGCCGACCGCCGGCGACTCGCTGCGGCAGTCCACCTCGAAGATGTTGTTGTTGCCGATGCGCATGACACGGTCGGCCGAGTAGGCACCGCCCGGCGGCAGTCGGTTCACGATCTCCGCCTGCTCCTCGATCAGGTTGGCCTGGCCGATCACGATCGGGCCACCCTCGGCCGCGATGCGCGCGCGCGTGTGCACCACCGTGCGCGGCCCGATGGTGACGTCACCGACCAGCTCGCACTCGGAGCAGACCACGGCGTCGGCCGCGATCCGCAGCTCCGGGTTGTTCTCCACAAGGCGGGACATGGCGGCGCTGCAACAGGCGGCACATGACGGCACTGAGAACAGGCGGGGCCGGGCGGCACAGAGTGCAGGGCGGGGCGGCGGCCGGTGCAGGGGGCTTCCGGGGGCCTGCAAACGGACGGAAAGCGGCCGCGGCCGGTGCATGGGGCCGCCGGGCGAGTGTAAACGGAAGGAGCGCGGCCTCAGTGACGGCGCACGACGACGGTCTGTTATGCGTCCGCACAGCTAATGCTACCGGTCTCGGTGCCCGGCGAGCGCAGGTAAACAGCGAATGCCCACAGTGCGGTGCAGGAGAGGAATATCGCACAGGTGTGTGACACGCATTCCCCCATAGTTGCAAGCTGGCTATGGAGTGTGTTTTATATAGACCAGATAGACTAACCGTTTCCAAGGCATCTATGTGCCATTACTCATTTGAACTGCAGACTTAAGTTGAGTCATGAAACAGGTTGCTCAACATTTTCGTGTCGATGTATGTTATGGTGACCCGAAGGTCAACTTCATTTACCACACTGCTTTTTTCTCTCCCTCTTGCAAGCCTGGGGTAACGGACGCATTTCATAAAAGCATGGGCTTGACGCGCACAGCAACATAATCTCAAACGTAATAGCCGAGATCATGTGAGTGAGAACTTCAACTTGAATTATTCGTCGTAGCACATCCACGGCAGTGGAAATGTGACTAAAACTGAGTTAAGCTGTGAGCCAGAACTGTGAACATCCGAACGGTGCTGAACTGACCGGACCGATGACGAATTGATGACATCGGTGAAACACAAATACAAACACCATGAATCAGATATCAAAGAGCCCACAGTATATTTGCCGCCTGCCAACAGTTAACAATCCACACTCCAAACCCGAGTCGACCGAAAGCCGACACAGCACAACACAGCACAAAGCGCCGCTGGGTAGCCGGCTAATCGCACCGCTGGACAGCCGGCTAATCGCGCCGGCACCACATGCCCGACACCCAGGACGTCAGCCGTCACCGTTGGCTACCTCCATGTCCTCCTCGTCGTCCGTCCACTCGTCCTCGCCATCCCCGTCCTCCTCATCATCCTCGCCGGGCGGCGCGGGGCCGAGCTCCTCCAGCATGCGGCGCACGTGTTCGTCGATAGCGGGGTCACGCTGGTCAGGCTGCTGCTCGGCCGCCTGGCGAGCGCGCTCCAGGTGCAGGCCGCGCCGCCGGCCGCCGCTCGCCGCCCTCCTCGAACGCCGCCAGTCCCAGCAGGTACCAGGTGTCCACCACCTGGTCGTCCTCCTCGGCCAGGCCGTCCAGCACCTGGGTAGCTGTCTCCCACTCGCGGCACTCGATGAGCGCGCGCGCCGCCGTCAGCCGCAGGTCGTAGCTGAGCGGACACAGCTCGAGCGGGTCGGCGGCGGCGGCGCCGCCGGCGCGCGCCGCCTGGTACGCCGGCAGCCAGAGGTCGGTGGAGCGGCGCAGCGCCGCGCGCGCCGCCTCCGCCTCGCCCTTGACGAGCAAGAAGCCGGCCTGCGTCTGGTGTGCCTCCGGGTTAGCCGGGTCGGCGTCCAGCGCACGCTCCAAATGCTGCCGACAGCACTGCTCGGCGTCCGGCTCGTCGCACAGATCTGTCATGTAGAGGTCGGCCAGCGCGCAGTGAGCGCTCGAGAGCTGCCGCGCCGGCCCGGGCCCATCCGCGCCGGCTGAGCTCGACTCGCCCGTCGCTGCCGCCGCCGACAGCAGCTGGACCGCCTTGCTATAGCAGTCGGCCGCCTCGCGGCCGTGCAGCAGCTGCGCCAGGCTGAGGTAGCAGGTGGCGCTGCCGTCCGGGCGCAGCTGGACGGCACGCTGCAGGCAGGCGCGCGCCGCCTCCATCTCGCCAATGTCCAGCAGCAGGCCGGCAGACATCTCGAGCGCGCGCACGCTGTCGGGTTGAAGCTCGAGCGCGCGGTTCAGCAGCTGGCGCGCCTCCTCCAGCCGGAACTGGTCCAGCTCGTCCTGCGCCGCGTCCAGCATCTGCTCCAGACTCATCTTCGCCGGCGCCTTCACGCCCGGCCGTCGGCGGCCACGGTGTGACGCCTTCCTGGTCTTGCCCATTTCTCAGCGCGTAGTCTGAAAGGCGAAATTCTTCCATTACCGTCTTCATACGCACGCGAGCTTCGGGCGCCGCCGCCGAGCCGTTTTGGACAAATCGCTTCAGGCGCAAACGCATGAGGAGGTGGCTTGCCTCTGTTGGTGGTTGTTCATTGCACGCGTTGAATCGCCAACTGACACTTCTAGTGATTCCTCCGGCAGTGACAACCAGTCGCTGGATATCCTCCTCGGCTGTTCTCACGACACGCGCGGTCTCAAAGCTAGAATGTGGCATCATGTTCTCCTCAAAGAAGCTTTCTGTGCTGTCTTAAATTTTATGATTTTACATGTCTTTTGTGGAGATTAAGATGTCTTCGACGTGACACAACTTACAAGTCCCCGGACATATGTGTAACACTACAACAGGAGTGCTATATGAGCTTCCATGACAGGTGGAATCTATGAATAAATGATCATCAAGTTTTGTTCCTGTATGTATGTGCGAAAATTGTAAGCAATATGGGAGCTTAAACACGATGGTGCAGACATTGGAGAACAGACATACCATGCACACAAATGCAAGAGGAATACACTTCTGGAGCAATATACTCTCACAGTATTACACAAGAAAATCATATGGTTGGCAACCACAGCATTCCTAAATGTGTACAGAGAGGCCTAAATTTGAGTTCTTTAAGGATATGCACATTTCATGCAGGAAAGCAAAAACCTCATCAGATAGTTATTGCATTTTAATAGTGCACTGTCAAAATAAGAAGCTCATGGGCATGAGGAAGCTCAGCTGGGCAGATGCAACAGGGCACTTTGAGCCAGCGGCCAGTCCAGGGGGGCGCAGGGACACCCTGATTCTCGACTCATCCTGATCACGGGAGATGTTGAAGGACATGAGCCATGCTGGGGTGAGCAGCCCCCATGTGGATAGAGGAGAAGGGTCATCCAGGTCATGGGGACGTGGGCGCTGGCTCCCATACCCAGGACACCCATTAACTGATGGGTGTGTTGACGGCCATGTATCCAGGGGAGCATCATCACATGTTGAAGTGGCACAGAAGCAAGAGTGTGGGGCCAATAGGGATCACTCACTCCATGCTGACTAGTAGCTGGCTGGCTCATTGCTTCACACTTTGCTGTGAGGACCCACACCATGGACTCATACTGTAAGTCCAGATTAGCCTCATCCCAATGAACTGTGATTATGGAAGGGTATGGTCTTGCCAAGCACTAGATTTCCATGCATCCTTGTAAGGTGTCATAGTTCATCAGGGTGTACGTGTACTTTCCTACCTAACGTTAGAAAAAAATCATTGTACACCATTCGTCGTGTTTAAGGTGGACCATATCGTAAATAATCTCAAAACAGGTAGAATCATACTCCTACCTTCGAATTTTGATAACTTCGATGGCGAGCTCCCGAGCGCCGCACGCACCGCACCGCCTGGACTCCCCAAAGCCGTTTCTGCGTCGCCGTTGCGTAATTACAATATTTCTGCTTACCAAGAACTATAAAAAATGTACGGGAACAACGTAACAATAATAATGCAATCAAAATAGTTTCTTATCGCGTCTTCGATGGCGAGCTCCCGAGCGCCGCACGCACCGCACCGCCTGGGCTCCCCAGCGCCGTTTCTGCGTTGCCGTTGCGTAATTACAATATTTTTGCTTACCAAGAACTATAAAAAATGTACGGGACCAAGGTAACAACACTAATGCAGTGAAAATCGTTTCTTATCGCGTTTAGGTACGTTTATAAAATGCACAGGCCAGAATAGTCCAGAACATAGCCTAACCTAACCTAACCTAACCCAACCCAACCCAACCCAACCCAACCCAACCCAACCCACCCCACCCCACCCCACCCCACCCCACCCCACCTCACCTCACCTCACCTCACCTCACCTCACCTCACCTCACCTCACCTCACCTCACCTAACCTAACCTAATCTCCCCACCCTATATCCCCTGCAACCCAGCATCCCATTGGCATCCATGTTCCATGCCATATATAGGTGCTGTATAGTGAGCTTTTATTTAGCCGCCCATCCCGTAGGCATCAAGGATCAAAATTTCATGGATTCTTGCTACCTTGGCCCGGCACATTTTTATGGTTCTTGATGCTGCTTGATGCGCAGTAATGTGACTGCACGCAGTAATAGCGCCGGTGTCACTGCTGCTGTGCGTGTGCGGAGCTCGGGAGCTCGCCATCGTAATTATAAAAAATTGAAGGTAAGAGCATGAATCTACCTGTTCTGTGATTATCTATGATATGTCCTGCCTTAAACATGACAAATGATGTACCATTATTTTTCTAACGTAAGGTAGGAAAGTACACCCTGACCGAACTTTTACAACAGAAGGTTACATCCACATTCATTTTCATATCTAGAACTGCTACAAGCATGCAAATGTCTGGTAATAAATCCATGATGCTGTTGGACTAGCATGACATGTAGCTAATTGCTGAGACCATAAAATAATACATATTAGATAGGGTGTGAATAAACCAAATGGAATGAGCTGGAAATGAAAAGGACCAGTTAGAGGTGGACAGGATCAGGCAAGGCTAGACACAAGTAGACATAACCCGCTGGAACCAGATTAAGGAACCAGTTATGATTTCAAGGGACATGGGGGACCCGATAAATTGAACAAGATCTGATAAGACTGGAAGGGACTAGATCTATTTGGACATAACATAATTGGAAGAAAGCCAAATGGACATCAGCAGACCAGCCAAGACTGATTTGACCCAGCACAGCCCAGCATAGCATCGCCCAGCAAAGCACAGCCCAGCAAAGCACAGCCCAGCACAGCCCAGCTCAGCAGAGCACAGTCCAGCACAGCCCAGCCCAGCACATCTCTGTTCATTCCAGTTTGATCCTGTTAAGTTCTGTCTTGGCCCACCTGGAGCAGTGGATTTTTCTTCGCTGACTGGCCACTCACCTTACTGCCACAGGTGCTGACTCGGGTCTTGCCCCTGGACTATGGGCCTTTCGCCCAACAAACGGGTTATGATATTAAGTGAGTACGCTTCAGGATGCCGTAAAGGACGGTTCCAAGTATTTACCGCAGATGCAAAACACTCTCAAGCTACTATGTGTCGCAGTTCCTATCTGGAAGAATTCAATTGCAGGCCAATGTCCGCATACCCTCCCTAGGAACGCCCCTATACCACCACGCAAGGCTACACATCTACAACCAGCACAGACGCCTTGGCGCAGACACACGCCCAGCGCTATAATTGTCTCAAGCACAGGATATCAAGTGTTTTTCTATATTTTTGGTATAGTTATATTTTCATCACATCAACTTTTAAGTGTCAAGTCAGTGATGTTTAGGAACGGGAGTTATGCTTGATACTTCAAAATCTTCTTTCTCTTTTTTGTACCATATGCAGCATTTTTATTTGTTTGCCAGAAATATTTCAGTAGGTGGTGTCCTCTTGTGAGCAAATAATTTACTATAATTATCACAAAAAATGCCCTGGATTGCGAGCACAAACAAGCGTGCTCGGGCGGGTGTAGAGCGAGTGGGGGAGGGGCGCGCGATGGAGTGGCTGCATCATTTCAGGGACTGACGGCCGGTTGTGTAACGTGAGAGCGATAGACTTCAGAGGGCATTTGTGCCTCCCGGCGGCATCTGGTCGCTGGGCCTTGTACTATGACCTCCACGATAGCAGTCCTGTTCCGTCCGACGCGAAACGGAAGGCGCCTCACTGGAGCTTCCACGAGGCTTGCGTTAGGTGGTCTTAACCACTTTTCAACGATGGATTTCAAATATAAGGTAGGAAATTGGCTGTGACTGTGCCAATTGGTCGTGACTCTGAGCATTGGAACTTGGGCTAGACTACACCTAACACCAAATGTAATGTGACATATATTTGTAGCCGGGCCAGATTTCGTGCTGATACACATCCTACCCAGTTTTGGTTGTCACCTTATGGTGTGTATATCATGCACAACCAGTATGTTGCTCCCCTATTTGCCATTGTGAGCCTTTCATCAGCTCAACCCTGCAACTCTCTGGTCCATGACATGACCCGATGCTCTGTGTGTTATTTTTCTGCCTTCCCACATCATGCATTGCACTGTTTGAGCTATTTAACCCCATCCCACTTCCTTGTTTATGTCACTCATACTTGAGAACAGTCTTGATTATACCAGTCATGACATGGGCATTAGGTATGAACCATTTGTATGCTCAAATATGTAATAAATGACACATTTTCACCTACTGTGTCTTGCTGTGACAAAACATCCTGACAAACCCAGGGCACCCCATGTTGCTACACTTGGACACCCTCTGGCTGGGACAGTTTCCCAGTTTCCTGGCTGCTCACTGCCTACCCTGTGGGGCGTTGCAGTGCGCGATCGAGGCACTGAACTCGCTGCAGACGAACCAAGCATCGCTGGAGCAGCGGCGGGCAGAGCGCTACCTGCGCCCAGAACGCGGCCTCCTGCAGACGGCTGCCGGTCTGCGCCACCTCGGCCTGACGCCCGCGCACCTCGATCAGCTCCAGGTGGTGCACGTGGCCGGTAAGCGCGCCGGTCGATCCCCGCGAGGCGAGGCACCCCTGGCTGCCGGGTGCCTGTGGCGGTGAGGGGGGGGGGGGGGAGTTCGTTCGGAAGAAATGACGTCATGCTGCTAAGCGACGCGTCTTTCCCATAACGACGGAAGCTTCTCACCATGGCGGACACTAGTGGAACCATCATGCGTACATTATGAACTATGAACATTGTGAACTGTTGGCATGAACTGTATACATTGTGAGCTGTAGACAGTCATGAACCGTATACACTGTGGACTGTGAGCATTATGAACTGTGAACATTACAAATGGCTTCCGGGGAGCCGCTGGTTCTCTTGTGCTGAATTGGTGCAGCTGAGCCAGCTAGATCGTATTTGCGCATTTTTTCCTATCAGACATTTCGCACCGTTAAACTACGAAAAACGGACAACGGATAAAACTTTGTTAGCTCGCCCAGAAAACGTCACCAATGAACATTGCCGCCGAGCACCATAATGCCGCTGGCGACAGCGACGGCGACGGTAACGGGCAGAGGGGAGGGGCGGGCCGGATGACGCGGGTCGCTGAGCTGTGTCTGCGCCGGCGGCGGCGGCAGGTGACGCGCGCGGGCGTGGCGCGCAGGCACCAAGGGCAAAGGCTCGACGTGCGCGCTGACGGAGAGCCTGCTGCGCCACCACGGCTACCGCACCGGCTTCTTCTCCTCGCCGCACCTGGTGGCCGCCCGCGAGCGCATCAGGATCGACGGCCGGCCCATCTCCGAGGAGGCGTTCGCCAGCTACTTCTGGGAGGTGTACGACCGGTTGGAGCAGGCGAAGGTAGGGGTGCGGGCTTGGGCCGCAGCGGCGGGGTGGACGCGACGCCGCCCGCGCCACGGCTGAGCGGGCCGGGCACCACGACCCGGACCCCGGCTGGTTATGTCTGAACTCGATCGTGTCAGATTTGACCCCCAGCCTGCCCCTGGTGTGATGAACTTGCTCTGACATACGTCCCGCTGATGTCGAGCTGCAGTAGAGTAAGTTCATTTGGGAGAAATGAGCCTATACTTTAAACTGCAGAAATCTGGCGCGTTCATTATTATGGCAGCACAGACACGAAGCAGAAATTCCCAACATATGAGTTATTAGAACCTGCCAAAATGAGCCTAAATTGCCGGACGCGCCCTATTCCTCAGCGATGGATTCTGTATCTGTCGATGAAGGTTACCCGCTGTGTATCCATCGATGAAGGCTACCCGTTGTGTACCCGTCAATAAAGGCTACCGGTTGCAGGACGACGATGAGCCGATGCCGATGTACTTCATGTTTCTGACGCTGATGTCGCTGTACGTGTTTCTGCGCGAACAAGTGGACGTGGCCATAGTGGAGGTGGGCATCGGAGGAGCATACGACAGCACCAACGTTATCCGGTGAGAGTCATCCAACGGCGACGGTATACGACACAAGCGCATGACTTGTCGTTTGTATCCGCGCGTGAAGAGGCCTTACTCGTAAACGTGCCGCACCATGTCAACCGTTCTGTGGAAGCCGTTGATCATAATGGAGAACGTCAACGAACTAGTACTTTCATTAGGGATATGCGTTTGACTCGTGAAACAGGCACCGTATGAGTGCCTGCTGTGTCGTAAAGGCGTTAGTCCGTGGGCCGTCGGCGTGTTTTCTGACGGGAGCAGACTGATTGCGTGCCGGCCTGGTAGCCTGGCGGGCACTCCTTGCGCCTGATGGTACTCGTGGTTCACCCTTCCCTCCGCCGTCAGTGACCCGTCACCCATACTCCCTGATCCGTCCGCGACCTGTGACTCACCGTCCCTCCGCCGTCCGTGACCTGTGACTCACCCCTCCCTCCGCTGTCTGTGACCCGTTACTCATCTCTCCCTCCGCCGTCCGTGACCCGTGACTCACCCCTCCGTGGGCCGTCCGTGACCTGCAGGTCTCCGGTGGTGTGCGGCGTGACGTACCTGGACTACGACCACACAGACATCCTGGGCTCGCGCATTGAGCAGATCACCGAGCAGAAGGCGGGCATCATCAAGCCGAGCGCGCCCGTGTTCGTGGCACGGCAGCGGCACGCAGCCACGCTGCCCGTGCTGGCCGACAGGGCGGCCCGCTGCCAGGTGAGGGCCGCCCGTCCAGCCCTGCTGCAAGGCGAGCTGGCCGGGAATGAGCCGACGAACGGAGGTCCAGGCTGGGTCATTACCGTTGTTGAATTAAGCTAGGTGTCATGCGTTGAGGCAGTGAGTGTTGTGTCTTTTCCATCGTTGGATTTGGTGGCGGCCCGGCCTCCGTGCTTGAGTTACTGGGCGTGATCACAGTCGTCAGCGCGGTTCAGAATACGCGTTGGATACTTCAACATTCAAGTTATGTTTCTTTACAACGTTGTACGGCATCAGCTGATGGGAAGGAAGTATGGCCATGACCAGCCAGGTTGGGGACTTGTGGGTCAGCTGCGGCTTTAACACCAGTCCCATTGGCAGGGGCGTACGCATGAATTTGCAATGGGGGGGGGGGGGGGAAGGATTTCATACACACAACCCAATTTTCACTGAAAACCCAGGTTATCGTGCCGCAGGTGCGCGAGATTCCGTGCACGGGGTTAAACTCATGCACTCGGTTTTCGTAATTTTACGTGGCCACCGCGAAGTGTCGCAAGTGTTTTAAGTCTTTTAAGTGTTTTAAGCAAAGTGTTTTATTTGCGGTCAACCACATATTGTCACCATGTATTCACGCACATGTGTATAATCTAATAGACTTAACGGGGAGGGGGGGGGGGGGGCACGTTTCCCTGGAGGCCATTGCGTGTGTACGCTCCTGCCGACTGGAGTGATTTTAAGGCGTCCTTGGACGTCGCTCCCCGGCATTCAGAACCAATCCGTGTGTACGCTCCTGCCGAATGGAGTGATTTTAGGGCGTCCTTGGACGTCGCTCCCCGGCATTCAGAACCAGTCCGTGTGTACGCTCCTGCCGAATGGAGTGATTTTAGGGCGTCCTTGGACGTCGCTCCCCGGCATTCAGAACCAGTCCGTGTGTACGCTCCTGCCGAATGAAGTGATTTTAGGCGTCCTTGGACATCGTACCCCGGCATTCAGAACCAGTCCGTGTGTACGTTCCTGCCGAAATGGAGTGATTTTAGGGCGTCCTTGGACGTCGCTCCCCGGCATTCAGAACCAGTCCGTGTGTACGCTCCTGCCGAATGAAGTGATTTTAGGCGTCCTTGGACATCGTACCCCGGCATTCAGAACCAGTCCGTGTGTACGTTCCTGCCGAATGGAGTGATTTTAGGGCGTCCTCGGACGTCGCTCCCCGGCATTCAGAACGAGTCCGATCTACAGTCACTTGGTTTCTTGGTTAGAGCGAACGAACCGCCACTGTCATTCCGACGCGAAATGCTCAGCGCACAGTATGCCCTAAAAGTGCAATGCACAGTTTTGGGCACATTCTGCGTTTCGCTGCTTCTTTTCGTGACATGTAATCTAGCTGTTCGAAAGTTGTAACGTCAGCTCATCTCAGCCTATGTATACGAGGGTCAAGAGAAGTCTGCAATAATTTAACATAAGAAGGGAGGAGGTCACTGGTATGATGGCTAATCATGCTCGCCATGGGCCTGCCAATGCTGATCTGCGATTTTCGTCGCGTGACGTTGCATGTTACGTTGATTTTACGTTGTTACGCTGATCTGCGATTTCGCGGTGCGATTCTACGTTGCATATAATGGCCACAGTGAGGATATAGCTTCGTGGCAAAGTGTGGGCACTGCACGAGAACATGAGCGACGGACAGCGTATGATCACAGCGAGGACATTCCTGTGCTTGCCCCGTTGAGAGGGCTGCCAGGTGTCCCGTGTCCGGTATGTGTGCCGTACGTGTGACCTGTGCGGATGCGGCACAGTCTAACTTCCTCCCTCCCACTGTCGCGATTAGAGGGCTGCCACTCTTCTCAGTTTGATTTGATAGCTCTGAGTTTGCTTTGCGAATTGCCATGGTCGTCAGTGCTCTTCCGATTCCATGCCTTTTGCCAGTCCAACTTTACACGAGCTGACATAATCTACCCGGTTTAGGCAAGCTGAAAGCACCTGCCTTTGTTCAGAGAACGGCGCTCGGGAAGAGCGAGAGTGACTGATCCCTCCTTTGTCGCAGGGTCCACTCTCTCGTTCCCAGCAATGCTGGCGTGTCCTGGCACCCAACCGAAAATAACACGCTTCCCGATCTGTTCGAGGGATGCAGCAACTCGCATAACCTGGTCAACTAGGACATGCTCTGCTTTCAAGTGATGTACGGCTAGAGTACTGCTTAAGGGGTCCCACAGAATAGGAGACCGGTCCACTCGTTCCTTCCCCGCAGAGTTTAATGCCTCCTTGGTTGCAAACAGTTTAGCGATCAAAGTCGAACAAAAAGAGGAAAATGTAAAACACTTCGTCCAGTTGTGACGCACAGCAGCACTTCCTGTGCCTGCCTCAGACTTCGAGCCATCCGTGTATATGTGAAAGTACGTATCGTAGTCCGTGCACATGCGCTGGAGAAATTCAGAACGAAACTCCTCGGCACTCGTCAATCCGTTGATCAGGGCATCAAGCGAAAAGTCGCAGATCAGCATTGCAACGTAAATCAACGTAAAATGCAACGTAATTGCACGAAAAATCGCAGATCAGTGTTGGCAGGCCCATGGCGAGCATGTTGAGCCACCATACGAGTGACGTCCTCCCTTCTGATGTTAAATCCTATACCCTGGCGTTCGCTCAGAGGCGAGGACCCCACAGTTGGCATTAGAGCGTTTCTTACGTTTCTCAACGACGTCGACCTCACGGCCATTTGCTCACCTCCACGGCATCTTCTGACACCTCACGACTCGGATGACTCACGACGAGCGCCCTAGCGTACTGGCTTTGCGCGCTGCGTGTTGTGACCATTAATTTCTCTCAATTTGTTTTTTTGCACGTTTCTGAAACCTACAAAAACTACCTTAATTGATTCAGCGCAACAAAGTTCTGCACAGCCATAGTTTGGACGCAAAATGACCGCGCCCGTCGGCGCATCTTTAAGCCCAAATGATATTAACTGGACGTCACCCTCCTGCCGGCTGGTTTCGGAGGGTCCAATGACGCCTGGCGGGCGACGAGCGTCCTCGACCTCAGTCCGCCGTTCCGCCGGTTTCAGAGCCCCCTGTACGTGGTGCCTGACCTGGACGAGTGCCGCGGTCCGGACGGCGACCGGCCCTGCCTCGGCCTGGCCGGCCAGTACCAGCGCCAGAACGCCGCTCTGGCGCTTCAGCTGGCGCGCTACTGGCGCAGCGCTAGGGGTAAGCCAACGGCGCAGACCGGCGCCGGCAGGGTTGCACGGGGCCCGAGGCTGGCACGGTAGCGGAGCAGTGGAGGGCTTAGTGGGCTGTCGCTCAGTACTCGCTGGCGGCGGGGCAGTGCAGGCGTACTGGGCTGTCGCTCGGTGCTCGCTGGTGACGAGCACCGTCGTGACGGGCTCAGAGGTTAGCGGCGCCGCCGGTGCTGACGCGCGGTGGCGTGAAGGTTCCACGGGCAGCGTGCGCGGACCCGTCACGACTGACGAGCGGGCCCGGCCGCACGGGCCCAGCTGGCGGCTCCGGCGCCGGCTCCGCGTCAGCGCGGCCGCTTCGGAGTGCGGCGCGCGACTGGCGGGCGGTCGAGTCTGTGGCAGCGACCGTGCCCCATCCGCCGGTGGTGACGCGGGCCGCCGTGTGACCGGCAGGGGACGGCGCGTTTGACCCGGCGTCGGCCCCGAACAGCGAATCGGCGCCGCTGGCCCGCGCCCAGCCCTGCCAGCTGACGCCCGTGGAGGCGCGCGCTCTGGCCGACTGCCGGTGGCCCGGCAGATGCCAGGTGAGTCGCCGAGAACGCGACGAAAGACTCCTTGCTTCCCCGCCGCTTATTGGCGGGAAGGCTCGACGGTTCAGAGTCTGAAATTCAGACCGTGGTGAATGGTACGGTACGTGGATATTATATCTTGTGGCACGTGCTGGTGGCAGCCTGGGAAATGGCACACTGTCGGACGGAGACGCGCCGTCGCCGTGTCGTTCCCGGCCGTCGCTGTGGCGTGTGCGCTGATGCGAGTCGGCCGTGCTCCGACAGAAGGTGCCCCGCGGCTCGGTGGCGTATTACCTGGACGGCGCGCACACGGCCGACTCCGTGCAGCTGGCCCTGCGCTGGTTCCAGTCGGAGGCGGCCAGAGACGCGGACAGCAGCGGGTGAGAGCCAGCAGCGGCGCAACTGTCCCAGACAACTGTCCCCGTCGTGGGAGCACCCTGCTCCGGGACAACTGTCCCCACCACGGGGCGCCCTGCTCCGGGACAACTGTTCCCGTCGTGGGAGCACCCTGTTCCGGGACAGCTGTCCCCGTCGTGGGAGCACTCTGCTCCGGGACAACTGTCCCCGTCGTGGTAGCACCCTGTTCCGGGACAGCTGTCCCCGTCGTGGGAGCACCCTGTCCCGGACAGCTGCTCCCGTCGTGGGAGCACCCTGTTCCGGGACAGCTGTCCCCGTCGTGGGAGCACCCTGTTCCGGGACAGCTGTCCCCGTCGTGGGAGCACCCTGTTCCGGGACAGCTGTCCCCGTCGTGGGAGCACCCTGTTCCGGGACAGCTGTCCCCGTCGTGGGAGCACCCTGTCCCAGACAACTGTCCCCGTCGTGGGAGCACCCTGTTCCGGGACAACTGTCCCCACCACGGGAGCGCCCTGCTCCGGGACAGCTGCCCCCGCGCGATTGCTGAGACTTGGACTGCGAACAGAACCATAAACTCGGCTAAGTACATGTCGGTACATTTGGGACTATCGGAACTGCAGCCAGTTGGCTGCACGTTCGTGGTTTTATATTGGTGAGATATCTGGTGAAGGATAACAAGATACAGTGGGCACTTGGGTGCAACTTTCATTGCCTGACGAGCTCACATTCTTGCTGACCGGATTTAACAGGAGATGCCAAACGAGCGCAATACAACAGAAAAAAAAACAGCGGGAAAAAACAAAAGCTGGGGAAGATTAATTGATAAACCCGTTCGTCCTACGTCTCGTCATGACCAGACTAAGAAGGACGCTGAGGTCGGACATGGCGCCACTGTACCCACTCTAACGGCCCGAGCCCTGGTCCTCGCAGGGTCTGTTCTCGGACCGTGCTGCTGCTCTTCTCCACTGTACCCCACTCTGACGGCCCGAGCCCTGGTCCTCACAGGGTCTGTCCTCGGACCGTGCTGCTGCTCTTCTCCACTGTACCCCAGTCTAACGGCCCGAGCCCTGGTCCTCACAGGGTCTGTTCTCGGACCGTGCTGCTGCTCTTCTCCATTGTACCCCACTCTAACGGCCCGACGCCTGGTCCTCACAGGGTCTCTCCTCGGACCGTGCTGCTGTTCTACTCGACGGGAAGCCGGGATCCGGCGTCGCTTTTGCGCCCGCTGGCGGCCGTCGCTTGGGACGAGGTTGTCTTCTGCCCCAGCGCCGTGTATCACGTGCAGGATGCTTCCTCCGGTGAGAGGGCACGGCTGCGAGGGGTGGGGAGTCGACCGAAAATGCAAAGGCGCTTTTTCGTGCACGCGACATCGTTTCCGCACGAGGCGTGCGCTAATTGCCGGGATTTTGATAGCAGCGCGTAATAGCCAGTCACTGCTTCATGTCTCGATGTTTCAATGACACATAATGACTAAAGTTGTGGAACCAGGCAATGCGCTTTTGCAAAAGGATCTCGTGTTTTTTTTAAATTGACAAACAAGTGCCCCTGCGGTCAACTTGGCCGAGTATCTCTATGTATTTTGTGTCAATGACGGGCCTGCGGGTGTTCGACAGACCAGGCCAACCGCATGGTGACGCCCGACTCGCAGCTGTGCCGCGTCGACGCTCACTGCGCCGCCTGGCGAGAGATGGCAGCACCGGGCGCGGCCGGCCGCCCGCGTCGCCTGACCTGCATCAGCGAGGCGGTTAACTTCATCGAGGAGAGCGCTGGCGTGCCCACCCAGGTCAGAGCACGGGCCGGCCGGTCGCTGGTCTGCCGCCGGTCCGCCGCTGGTCCGCCGCCGGTCCGCCGCCGGTCCGCCGCCGGTCCGCCGCCGGTCCGCCGTCGTCGGCCGGCCGGGAGGGCACCGGTGTTGGCTCTGAACACGTGCGGTGGTCGGCTGGACGCGAATGCTCACCTGTTGGCAAAGCATGAGTGGGGTTTCATGGTTTTATGGTGCATTTCGCGCAGGCCACGCTGGCCGCTCGACTGTGCGTATCTGTGTTGTCGTTGTTTGTTCGGTGCTGGTCTGTCACTGACCGCTACCGCCGCCGCCAGGTGTTCACTGCTGACCTGTTATTGGCCGTCGCCGCCGCCGCCAGGTGTTCTCTGCTGACTTTGTACTGAGCGTCACCGCCGGCAGGTTTTCACTGTGGGCTCGCTGCACCTGGTCGGCGGTCTGCTGTCCATCATTGACCCACACTTGTCGTCGATGCTGCCGGCGCCGCGGCCCCGCTCCGGCGCCGGCCGACCCGAGGTCAGGCGGCACCTCAGCGCCCCCTGTCCGTAACTCTGGGGAGCGTGTCGGCACGGCTCCGTCGGTAGCTGACGTCGAGCCAACGAGCCACCAGGAGCCTTCAAAGCAAAAGTAGACGGATCCGCGCAAATGGTTTTAGGGCTAGAAAGAACGGCGCATCAACAATGCGTGACGTAGAGGGCGACAAAGGATGACTGTGCGGGATAGTAAGTGTACGGTGTCTCAGAAACGCATCTGCGGGACCAGAAACCATTGGGTAGCCATTCCCTGGTAGCGTCTCTGGCGTGTGTGCTGCTACCTGTTCAGCGCCTGGTGTCGAGTGTTGTCGAAAGGACCGAATGCCGCGCTGTTATACGCGCCCCGCCCCGCTGGCCCAGTGCCTTTCGTAGTCGTGAATAAAGACAGGGATGTGGTGGAACCGAGGGATGCGCACGAGGCATTGACGTCTCGCATCAGATGTGTGGAGTGCGCTGGCTGTGTTTCTCTGCAGTGTCCGTCGTGTGCAATGGTGTGCTGTGAGAGCGGGCAGCGCTGGAACGGGCTCGGCGGGAAGAGCACCGGCCGCCTGTGGGGACAGCCGGCGTTCGGGTCATGTCGGCCGGACCTGGACGACTTCCGGCGTGCCATGAGTAGACAGAGCGAGGGACAGATAGGGGCGGTATACTCGGGATGTTTATTTATGGAGACAGAGGGCTGGTGACCTTTGGTTACAAGATGTATGGTCCGGAGATATGGCAGATTGGGTTCGTGTATGGGGTCGAAGGCAGCCTGCCTGGTAGCTCGGGACTAGTGGGACATCATTATCAGAAGCGGTGTGGATTTAGTCAGTGTCAGCGTGCATTTCATCTCCCAGTACAACATGTGCCTTTTATCACGGGGCCAAAGCCCGCCCTATCGCCTTTTCACCTTGAAGGGTTACCGCGTTACACGCAGGCAGAAAGCGTTCTGATTCAGGTAATCTGGATAATTATCTGCGGGCTGCTGGTCGGTGTGTCATCCCTGGATAATGTGCAGTTCCTTGCGGATGTTTATGAGCCCGACGGAGCCATTCGATCAGAAGATGAGGGACCGCTGCAGCGGGCTAGATGCGTTTGTACCCGATTCGAGGCTCCCAGCGAAGATGGGATAGCCCAGCTCACTTGGTAATGGCAGCTTACCGAGAATTAGGTCGTCTTCAGTATTCGTTGCTCAATCCTGTTTGCAAGCGTACCCACTGTGTTCTGGCTTGCATGCTCCTGCGCTGAACCGCAGGAATCCGATCTGCCGTCCATGGTTTGGTTGCCTATTCTTCCCACCACGCTTCCCGATCTATCCCCTATCCCCAGTTGTTGTCCAGTGATTGACCCTTGTTGCATGTCTCGCTAACTTAGGTCACCATGGGACATGTCATGCCACTGCCCCCTGTTAATATCGTGGCCGGGCATTGTTCTGTGAGTATCAAAGGTCGCAGCCTCCTCCTGACGCCCCCTCCCCCTGAGCCCGTGGACCCGACCCAGTCTGCGCAGGTCGCAGCCAGCTCCTGACGCCTCCTCTCCCCTGGACCCGTGGTCTAAGCCCCGGTTGCGCAGGTCGCAGTCTATCGATGTCCTAGTCCCCCTTCCCGACTTTTGCCTTAGTGCTGACACGCGAAGTGCCAGCCTTGGTCAGGAATATTGTTTTTTTGTCGTGTCATTGGGACAGGAACTTAGCAGCTCCCCGAGCATACAACGGCGGAACGCCCGGTGAATCTCACTGTACAAGCTTACGCCTTGGTATATTCTGTATTGGTTTTGGTTGGCCTGCGGTGTCTGACTGCTGTGAAGGACGTGATGCTGTCGGCCGATACGCTGACACGTCTTCCCATCACCTCGTGCGATAGTGACGGGCAATATATGGTTTCCTAGAACTCTGTGTTTGAGGTTTTAGGGCGGTGAGAGTTTTATCTACTTCAATTCTGGTTCCTCAATGGAAAAGCGATTTGATTAGCCATCCTAGCTATCGTTCGTACATGAATTCCACAAAACAGCGCCTCAACCGATGTTGTTTCGACTTCAGTGCCTCTCCGTTTAACTCTACGGTGTGGTAAAATATATAATGTTTAAAGCACGGCATGTGCAATTATGGGACACGTGGTCGGGGTTTTGGCATGTGTTGGGACGCTAAGCGATATGGACATTTTCATTAGTTATGCTTCTTTCAGTAACTATAAGTATTCTAATAAGTGCAACACCCTGCTCTCAATAACACAATTTCACTAAAAGTCAGACATGCACCTCAATGCGTGCAGTGTCCGGCTGTGGTGTGTGCAGCCCGGCCCAGTTCGCTGCCGCCGCGGCGGCCGGCCGGTGGCGGGGATTGGGTGGTGTCAGAGCACCACCGTACAGTGGCGGAGTCAGGGTGGTGTCAGAGCACCGCCGTACAGTGGCGGGGGCAGGGTGGTGTCAGAGCACCACCGTACAGTAAAGGGGTCAGGATGGCATCACAGCACCACGGTACAGTGGCGGGGTCAGTGTGGCATCACAGCACCACCGTGCAGTGGCGGAGTCAGGGTGACATCAGTGTGCCCCGGCCGGTCACGCGCCGCTGTCCGGGCGTCGCCCGCAGCCCGTATTCGTCGAATGAGAGATTCGCGACGCTGCGGTGAGCGGGGAGGTGCTGACGGACTGTCGGGCACGGGGCATGGCGGCGGCGGCGGAGCGCGGCGGACGGTGTCCGTTGTGGTGGGGTGCACAAGGCCCGTTACTAGCCGGGCTGTCCAGCATCGAGCTGGCGCCCCACGCCGGGTTGGTCACTTTTTTGACTTTTTATACGCTTTGTCCGCACGTGCTTTTTCAGTTTGTTTTCTCAAACGAACTCAATTAGACTTGGGTTTTGTTGCGCGATAGAAGAGCGTGACGAGATCACGCCATTAGATGACACGAGGAAGCAAGACAGCCATGGTTAGGGTCCTAAACATGCGGACGGTATACCCATATGCCCGTTACACCCAATGCCTTTTTCCAATATCCCAAAACCTACGAATAACGTCATCACGGGACACTCGATGAGCTACATCACGATAAGTCCGCTAGTAAGAGCTTCAGGGCCTTCAGAGGCAGCTTCTGATGACATCAGAGTGGCTCAGACGGCGTGTATTTCCAGTGTGAATTAAAATCAGTGTTCTCTGGGCAGCCAGGCTCACTTTCGTCCAATGAGTTGGCTTCTATTTTCGTGCCATCTTGCACGGGTCCAGTGTTCAAACAGCTGACGCAAGCGTTGTCCATGGGCTTATGCAGCTTATCCGACTTGGCGGAACACACATGTACCTCCCGTAGTACTGCACGTATTTCAGTCCCACTGAATCACAATGGATTCGAAACGTCTTCACCGTTGCCTTACAGAACTGCATCCCTGTGTCATGCTCGTTTAGCAATGCGTTCTCTCACTCCTCTAAAAATAAGTCGAATTTCATAGCCCGGCGGCGATTTCTTACTGTAATTGTCGCTCTTGACTTGAGTGAATGTGTTACGACTCTGAACACTGAATGACACTGACACTGAATGTATTACGTCCTTTAATTTTAGGGACGACTTCTTACTCATAGGATATTTTGAGTTATTCTTTATTCACTCATAGTAATGGCCATGCAAGATCATGTATTTTGGCAACTTATATATCGCTGCTCGACGACAAAGAATGACAGTACATGGTAAAGGTACACTGTACGTATGTGAAAATGCATGCCAATATCATAAAGACCTAAGTTACCATCGCGTGACCAACTGAACAGGTTAGCCAAAAGAAAAGTGCACGCCCCATGATTTTCTTAGAAGTGGCGATGCGTGCCGCTATGATCGCCTTGTAGTTGAGACGAAAGCTTATAGTGCCGCATTGAATCCACAGGAAACGACCACAAATCAGAAATGTTGTTTAGACCACTTCAGCAACGACACGGCACACAGACGCAATCACTCTTCCTGCTCGCTCAAACCAGCGAAGACCACCCTAGATGGGCACGTGTATCTGATGGCGGCTCATGTAGCCCTGCCGATAATAACGCGTTCTGGTCGCAGCTGAGGCACGGGCTTTGTTCCGAAAGAGCGCAACACCCCACCGTAATCCTTGGGCCAAGAAGGCTTAGATGCTCTCACGCTGACTGGGTCGCAATCCTTGTGCAAATAGCAAAGAAACATACACTGGCAACTTGTAAAGCAGGTTCATGACATTTCGAAAGGCTCAAAGCCATGTGCCATCACGTGCCTGAGCTATGATCTGGTCTTCTCGAATATGCATAGTGTCCATGCGGAAAGGAGGCAGCTGCTATCACGGATGCCACTTTCTAAAGTCAGGTATAGACGCTAAGTCGGTAACGTTGACCTAACCTGCCGACACGGCCGGTTTCTCCCGGATTTGGGCACTTCCGTTCCCGATGTCAAAACAAATATCATGCCAAACAGAAAACTCACGAAGTTTCGCGGTTCAAGGTTTGGTAGCAAATTATTTTGGAACTCCGTTATGCTGTATACAAACCCCTAAAATCTTGATTTAAGCTTTCGCTGATCCAAAATTTTAGTTTTTGCCGTCGGTGTCATCATGACCAGGGCCCAGTCAAGTCATGCTTCCAATTATGACTCTGATAGATTACTTACGCTAAATCCCTAAAACAAGATAAAACTACATGGTGTTATTCGTTTGTGATACCATTGTAAAATCCGATATGAAGTCTGTGATACTGGGGTCTGCCAATAAGCCGTCCATTCCAGTTAAAATATCGCATTGTTTTTTTGTTTAGGGACGCGGCGCACGTCGTCGCGCATACTTTTATATTGCGTCATGCGGTTGCAGAAGCCATATGGGCGCCTAGGGGCCATGATGCAACCGGAGTTCGAACATGGGCCCCCACATGGGAGGCAAAGGCGTTAACCACTCGGCTCTTAAGCCCCATGCCTCACACTGTTGCTGAGCATTCTACAGGCGCAACGTGGGCTCAGCCAGCTCAGGAAAGTGCACAGTTCAAACCCATTCAGGTTTTCTGACTTCGCCCTCGTGCAGTTAAAGCCATCGGGACGGAGAAAATCTGTGATCTGTATGAAAGGATGCTCTCATGTTACCAGAATGTCCTTGAAGCGAGGAGAAACCAAGTCCTTCGAATGGGCACTGAGAAGTTGTTCTGCACACCACGCCTGCATGACCTATGCCAAAGATGCGGTTCATCTTTCACGCTACATGTATCAACAGTATGGTTGATACTATGACAATTACACATTCACACAAGAGCCGCCGTTTTCGATAGCTGAAAACAGATAAAGGTTATAAATGTGTCGGTTGTGTCATCTTTCATGCTACATGTATCAACAGTATGGTTGATACTATGACAATTACACATTCACACAGAGCCGCCGTTTTCGATAGCTGAAAACAGATAAAGGTTATAAATGTGTAGTTGAAATAGTCGAATTCATTAAAGGACGATCGCTTGCACTCTTTTAAGCGACGAGTATTTGCATTGATGGGGCTGATGCGTCGATCTCGCATAGCCAGCCTGGTTAGCGATGATGCCAGTGGCCTGGGCGGGCTCTGTAACATCGCAATCGCTAGCAGTGTGCGGGCTGTATTGGAAACGCAATGAAGCGGCACCAGTAATCGCAGGATATCGTTGTTGGCGAGATGTACCAGGCGATGCTGGACTGAATCCCGTAGCTGAGCACTAGAATCGTCCATGCAACACCGGATAATAATCAAAATGCCTGCCCTACATCAGCTGCAACATTGGCAACGTTGGAGAACATCACGTAAGGCACGATCTTGAAAATGAATGAGGTGCAAGGGGTGTTCCTCTGAGTTTTTTTTGTTACCGAGTTCATAAATATATATATATATATATATATATATATATATATATATATATATACATATCTACATATATGCAATATCAGATATCTTACAGACATCTAATGGCAATAGGTTCTCATGCCAAATCAGTGTGCCATTCAGTAAAGTACGATGTCACAAATACATTCTAGACAAATATGATGCGATACCTAGAAGAAGCGTGACAAATACAGTGACACGCCATCACAAATCCAAACACAGGTTTATCAAAATCATACGCAATAATTCATCCGAACTCCAGCAAAACCAAAACTGTGTCAAGCTAACACAAGAACTAGCGTAGGAAGAATAGGCACCAGTCATGGCATGTACCTGCGGGCTGGCTCTAGACCAACGGAGAACTCGCTTTGTCCGGTGCATGGAGGTTCGGCGCCCCCACAGGGACAGGAGCAGCAGAAGCAGGGACCGATATACGTCAGCCCGGTGTTTGGATGAGCAGTTGTAGGGACCTTCTTCGCCTCTGCTTATGAGTCGGGGGCTGCTCTTGCGTGTGCACCTGTACACTCGCCACGCGTCTTACAGACACTGACTGTCACGCTGAGGTTTGACAGTGATCACAGAATGGTCACAGGACCCTCTTCGTCTCTGATTATGGGTCGGGAGCTCTCCTGCATGTGTACGTGTGAACTCACCATTCGTCCTTCAGACACTCGCTGTCACGCCAAGATTTGACGGGATCACAGCATGTAACATTGCCGAAGCCGATGAAATGTTATTTTTGTTCTGTGAACATAACAACAGTAATGTAACAACATTGTGCATTGCACTGTTCAATGATGATAAAACGAATCAGCGCCTCGCCTGCCCCCAACGGCGACGACCGCTGCTGCAGCTGGGCCGGAGTGTGCGGCGTCCGGACCGGCTGATGGGCTGGGCGGCCCTGAGGCTTCGCAGCCGGCTGGGAAGCACTCAAGGCAAACCACTGTATATTGTCGCTCCCAGTGACGTGTGCTCCTCCCCAGAACCTGATTACTAGAAAAGTTGCGCAAGCCCAGTAATACGGCCGCTGAGGCGCCGCATCTGCTCAGAGATCTAGTCCCCACGTGTACTAAACCGGTTGCCAGTTGTATGCAGCCTACCTGTATCAACCTAGCAACTGTGATAGGACGCAACATGCTATGGTAAACAGATCAGGATATAAAACACTGAGACGGAGCTGAGGTTTGGGATGACTGAAGCGTCTGAGGTCGCGTCAGTCCGTGTCCGGCCTGCGCTTACGTGCATGGACGCAGAATGTGGGGCAGACATAAGGGAAGACGCAGGAAGTTTGGTCTGCCCGAAATGAAGCCCATACTCCACGCTGATGGGTATGACCGCGGTTTGGTTGCGTGAGGTGTCTTATATACGGCTGCATCCGCTTGATCGTAGAGGGCATCTCCCTTCTCTTTGGCACAGGCTTTTTTTGCTGACATGTCAAACGCGTTTTGCAAAAAGACGTTCAATCGTTCCAACCACCAGATCTGGGGACACCACAAGATCGAGTAGAGGGATTAGACAAATAGAGTTACATGTGAATGAAACGACTTCCAGAACTTTTGAAACAGTGTGAGAAGAGGTGAGTACTGACCAATGAGATGAGCCCCTCCAATATGGGCCTCACCCCGCCAGGACGGAGATGGGCTTTGAGAAGCATGCCGGGGTGTGATCTATGTTATGAGGTACGTCCTCAGGCGTGCAAGAGCCACGCGAGGGCCTCAAGACAGAAGGAAAGAAAATGCACCAGCAGCGACCATCATTGGTGCACATGAGCTGCTTGGACGTGCAAATCATGACCGCTTAGAATGCCGAGATCAGGTCTTACCAAGTTCGGAACCATATTGCTATTTCCAAATTATCCTTCAGCCACGTGAGCCTTTTGACATTTGAACGGACTACAGTCTCAAATTTACATATGAGTATAACTGGCGAAATGTGCTTTGCGGCAGGGTTGAGGTGCTGTATCAAGTGTGGAATCATTGCTCGGCTAGACTTGGCCGAAACGTTGCGTGCATTCTTCCTCCCGGATGACGACCATACTCCAAACAATTATTCTATTCAAACTGGTCAGAGTTAAGCCACAGCTCGACGGGGCTTTCCGGGGGGTTGCACTTTGCGCTGGCGTACTTATACGTAAGCAGGCCACGTCGCGCCTGGGAAGCTTTCACGAAATGAGTTGCCACATCGATACATGCGCATCCATTTATTGTGATCAAATAGAGCACGTTTATAGAAAAATACGATAACAAATACAACGCACTGTGCACGGTTCACTGACCATGCCAGCATACTAACGCATAACAACACATTTGGCCCCGAGGAACTAAGCGCGGCGACAGTGAAACGCGCGTGACATGCTACTCCTCACTCCGCTCCCCGTGCCTGCTCCGCTTCATGCATACTGCAGCAAGTAATACCTGTGTGATCTCACTGACTTCCACACTCTCCACCAATCGAGCTATCAGGGCGTTTCAGGCCTCAGCCGATCGAGTTTGTCCTGACTAACGACCACACAAACTCTACGCAGGAGAACAGATTCCTCACGCCTTTCGCGTCGCTGGAGACCACGGGGAGCACCGTGAGTGGATATGTATGCCCTGAACATCACAACGGTACGTCACCATCCACCCATTACCACACATTCAACGTCGTTCGTCCCGGGCACACGATCGCAATAAATAATACAGCAATAAATACATCACTTCGCTTCGTAATTACTACCTCTCTCTCTCTCCTTACCAAAGGCAACGGCCAGTTCAAGGTAGTGGAACCCCGTGGTATTCCCACGGGACTAACGGCTGGGCAAGGGTAGCGAACCCTGTCAAATCCTCACGGACCAGCGGTGGGCCAGCGATCGTCCGTCCCGTGGCGGCATCACGAGATTACCAGCTGTGTTAAGGTCGTGAGTCTCGGGGAGACATTGTGTGCACTGCGTTGGCTGGTGTGAGGCATCACGCCGGTGTCTCGTTCGTCGCGGCGAGCGGGCCGCGGCCGAGCCGTCCCCGCCGTGCGGGCTCGCGGCAGTGTGGAGGCCCGGTCCGGGGGAGGCAGAGGTCCGGCTGGCGCACGCGTGAGTCTGCGTCGCCTCCACCCGCGCCACCGACGCCGGTTTGTGGTGGTCCTCGGCGCGGTCCCCGCCGGGACCTCGCGCGATCCGCGGTCCGGCCGGCCGGACCGCGGTCCACCTCGGCGGTCCGCTCGACGCCGGTCCCTCTCGCGCGGCGCGATCACAGAAGGTCCCCAGCGCGCACGGCCTCGCGCTAGAACAGCATTATCTGCTCTATCCACCGCCGGAAGTAGGTGATGCGCGTGTAGACGCCGGGCTGGTTGCGTTGCGCGCAGCCAATGCCCCAGCTGATGATGCCGATCAGCTCGTAGCTGTCCGAGTCCTCGCGCTTGAGCGCCAGCGGGCCGCCCGAGTCGCCCTGCAAGGCACCGCTCTGGTCAGAGGTCGCAGAAACACAGTGGTTCACGCGGGGCAAGGGCTGTAGGATGTCTTGAAAACTCTGCAGATGAATCTATCATAGTATTACTTAGTTTAGCGCTCATTAATTCCGAGCGTTTTACATCTGCGTTCTTTTTTTGGAAAGTATTGTTGTGGGGCGCCATGGTCGGCACATCAGCTAATTAATGGACCAACATAACATTTAATCAGTGCAAAAACACAGTTCATGGCATCTTGACAGCATTTCAACATCGGTGACTACAAAAGATTGGGGAAGACTACTCAGGAAATTTGGCCCAGCTTGGGCCCCCGTATCCTCCCATGTGGGTCCTAAATTCTGTGGCCGTTTCTCACTCCAAGCCGTTAGACCCGAGACAGATACCGGTCCCGTCACCGCGCGCCCGACGGGAGCGGCGCTTACCTCGCACGAGTCCCTCCCACCGGCGGCCCAGCCGGCGCACAGGAAGATGTCCGGTAGGTGCTCGATGAAGCCCGCCTCGCGGTACATGCCCTCGCAGGCGGCGTTGGTCAGTACTGGCACCGCCACCTCGTGCAGCTTGGACGGCAGCGGCCCGTCTGTCGGCGCGCCCGGTCACGGTCACAGGGGTCACAGCCACTGGCAGGGGACGCGGCCCTCACAGCGCGGGGGGGGGACGGCCCTCACTGCGCCGTGGGGACACCGCTCTCACGGCGCCGGGGGGGGGGGGGGGCACGGCTCTCACTGCCTGGGGAGACACGGCTCTCACAGCGCCGGGAGGACACGGCTCTCACTGCGCCGGGGGACGCGGCCCTCACTGCGCCGGGGGACACGGCTCTCACTGCTCCGGGGGACACGGCTCTCACTGCGCCGGGGGGACACGGCTCTCACTGCACTGGAGGATGCAGCTATAACTACACAGGAGGACGCGCGTGAAAGCCGCGCTGCCGCTTAACTGCCCTGGCAAGGCTAGTGACCGGCTTGCTATGCAAATGCAATTTTTCAGCAATTCAGCCATTCTGAATACTGGCACGACCGAACACCGCCAGTGGACTAACACGCTGTCATGTCTGTACCCAATCACCGACGCTAAATCCATCGACCCAATGCAGTCCCGGTCAGCCACACGAGCACGGCGCGTATGAGCCTACACTTTCTCTGGCACGGCCGACTTCAAACCGAAACGCGGGCCTGTCGTTCAAATACTGACTCGGTACAACTGACGTCGGCCAGCGAGTCAAACCAAGTAGCTCAGAAGACTGCTATCTCACAGCAAGCACCAGCCAATGACCCTTTGCGACTTCCTCCAATGCCCACCATTGCCAAACCAGTCCCACCTGGACGGCCTGGATGCAGTCAAACACTGCACTGGCGTGACTCTCCTCAACTGTTAACCAGGACTGTGTGTCCAGATACTTACTCTGGTAGAGTCGGCCCCAGCCCGTGACCCAGGCGGTCCTGTTTAGGTAGTCGTCATCGCCCTGCGGCAGGCAGATGGGCACGATGTTTGGCGCAAACTGCACCGGCTCGTAGAACCTGAAACACGTGGGATGACGTCACAAATGAGCCACTTGCGATGCCATTGACAAATGGCATCTGGCAGTATCGTCGGCCACCGCCAGCTCACACCAACGGCAGCATCGTCGGCCACCGCCAGCTCACACCAACAGCAGCATCGTCAGTCATCGCCAGCTCAAACCAACAGCAGCACTCATCGCTGTTTTTGTGTTCACATGTTATCCCGGGCCGCTCGTTCGGCCGCAGACCGGCCGCCCGGCGGATTAACCGTCGACCCACTAACCCCCAAACGGTCACACGGCCCGCTGTTCGACACCAGGACCGGCGTCCCGCTCCCCGTTCCGAGTCATTACCGCAGCGACCTCGGCCCGGCCGACACCAGTCCGCTGCCGTCTGTCACGGGCGGCGCGCCTGTCGCGCCGCCCGCCGCCCGCCGCCCGCCGCTCGCCGCCCGCTGCCCGGCGCCCGGTGCCTGTCGCGCCGCCCGCCGCTCGCCGCCCGTTGCCCGGCGCCCGGTGCCCGGCGCTCGCCGCCCCGCCCGCTCGCCGCCCGTTGCCCGGCGCCCGGTGCCTGGCGCCCGCCGCCCGCCGCCCGCCGCCCGCCGCCCGCCGCCCGCCGCCCGTTGCCCGGCGCCCGGTGCCCGGCGCTCGCCGCCCGCCGCTCGCCGCCCGTTGCCCGGCGCTCGCCGCCCGCCGCTCGCCGCCCGTTGCCCGGCGCTCGCCGCCCGCCGCTCGCCGCCCGTTGCCCGGCGCCCGGTGCTTGGCGCTCGCCGCCCGCCGCTCGCAGCCCGTTGCCCGGCGCCCGGTGCCTGGCGCTCGCCGCCCGCTGCCCGGCGCCCGGTGCCTGGCGCTCGCCGCCCGCCGCTCGCCGCCCGGTGCCCGGCGCCCGGTGCCTGGCGCTCGCCGCCCGCTGCCCGGCGTGACTCACCTGAGCATGGCCAGGTCGTATTCGAAGGTGGCCGGGTCAAACTCGGGGTGGATGGCGATCAGCTCCACGCGACGCTCGACGAACGTGTACGGCTCCGACTCGTCCTCCAGGTTGTACTCGCCCAGCCGCAGCAGCAGGCTCTCCGGCTTCACACTGTCGCGGGAGTGGGCGGATGTCGTCAGCACGGCACCCGGGCTGTGGTCGGCACAGCCAGCCCGGCTTTGGCGAGCGCAGAGCAGGGGTGGGGCAAACGCGGCAGGCTAGAGTGATCACCGAATGGATTCGGAGACGACACAGAACGGAGCTGGGGTAGGCACAGAGGGTAGCTAGGATAAGCGCAGAGGGTACCTGGGGTAGGCACAGATTGGAGACGGGGGCTGGGATCGGCACAGATCGGGGCTGGGGTAAGCAAACCATGGGACTAGGGTCAGCATATGGTGGGGCTGGGTGGGGAGTCAGCCTGGGTCAGCACAGAGAGGCGGGTCACTGGGACGGGGCAGCTGGGATTAGCGGTAGCGCAGCACAGCTACGGGTGGCGGCTTACAATCGCCCTAAGAATGTTTTCGCAAGCAGCCAATCTCAGATGAATCATTCTCGTTTGCCGTTTTGAGCAGTTAGTGTGATTCCCACACAATGGTGGTGGCTCAAGATCGACGATGATGGCAAGTGCGATGGGAGTCGTGTTGGTGCGATTGTCCGTAGCCGGCAGTACAGCTCAAAGGACGACAGGTCATGAGTGACACGCTACACCACTGCAGATGCCACTGCAGGTTAGGAACCGGTCGTGACACAAAACACCGACCATCGTGGAAAAGCCCAAGTGATGGCAAGGTGAAGAGTGTGTCTCCCCTCCCCACCAGCGAGAACATAACAAAAATGCTGGCCAAGTCGTCGATCCGTCAACGCTCTTCAAACCACTCATTTCTCATTGAAAGCCGAATGTGGCGTGTTTCTGGAAGGACTGTCTTAAAACGAGACAAAACAGAATGCCTAGACATGATAAGACAAGTCCACTCGCCCGAATCGCCACCCTGGCAGAGGACACGGTCGCCGGCGCCGGCCGCGTTCTGCGTCACTCGCCGTGATGAGTGGGGCGGCTGCTCGCCCGGCTCTGGCGGTCCCGCTGCGGGCGAACTCGCCGGCTGCACCGCGCGCTCGTTTCCGCCTGGCGAGCCTCCGTCGAACGGGACGAGCACGCCCGGGCGCGTCTCACCACATCCGTCGATGACCGGCACGGCCCGGTAGCCGGCCGGAGGAGCGCTCTCGGCCGCCGCAGCCTCCTCTCGCGGCGCCGCCGCACCTCCGCTCGGAGGGGCCGTCACGCTGTCCGAGTCACTCGGACCGTCGGAGCGGCACGGGCTGATCAGGGGATGGGGCGGGAAGGGCGAACGCCGGAGGCGACGCGGCAACTCGATCTATGTCTCTCTCACGCGGCGCTGGTGCTGACTGAATCAGACAACGACTTTGTTACACGCCCAGCGGACAAAGGGCCGCAGCGCAACGGCTGCGCCACCTCCGTGCCCGCTACCCGTCCCAGCTGCACCATGCTCGCCTCTCCGCGCGCGCCTGGCGCCACTGTGTCTCCCCAGCCATGAGCGAGCTCGCGCCGCGTCCACCTCGGTGGCCTAGTGGCCGACAGGCCTCCGTGCCTCATCCCTCCGGACGGCCCGGTTTTGGCCGGCACTGGCGGCCGGTCCGGTCCGGTTCGGAAGGCGTCAGGGAGGCGGCCGCGACAACTCCGGCTGCGCAGCAGGCAGACACTCGGCGGCTCTTCCAGCGGCACACGGGCTCAACACGAGCCTGGTCACAGCGATCAGGCACAGGTACGGAGGAAAAACAGACTACAACGACAGTGTTCGGTGCCAAGCTCAGCGCGCTGGACACACGCGTGTTCTGGGATGGGCGCTGCGATCCATACGGAAGGCGCGTGAAGCATAACACAAGAAACAAATGTGATGAAAGAGCCTCGCACCATCGACGACATGTGCTCTGGTTTCTCCTCCACGACGAAGATGATAAGTCGTTCGTGAATGAATCTCTGAAAGGGACTCCTCAGACCACCTGGGCAGGGGAGAGACAGCGGCTGACGGGAGCTCTGAGTGCCGCCGCCGCCGCCGCCTCCTGGCGCGGCCGGTCCGGTCAGTGGCCGCCGGCTGACGGCTCCACAACGCGCGGAAACCAGCGTCGCACCCCGCCAACGCGCTAATGGTGCCTGACGGCGGAACGAACCGTGGCCCAGCAGGCCGGCCGTCAGCCCTGGCGAGTGCCGCGAGTGTGCCCAGGCAGCGGCAGGGCTGAGGCAGACGAGCGGGCCCAGCAGCGGCAGGGCTGAGGCGGAGCGCGCCCCGCAGCGGCAGGGCTGAGGCGGACGAGCGGGCCCCGCAGCGGCAGGGCTGAGGCGGAGCGGGCCCAGCAGGAGCAGGGCTTGAGGCCGCGGGTGACTTGCCGTCCGCCTGGCAGACGGGTGGTCAAGATAATCGTCGTTCGTTACGTAAACGCCATATTGTCAGCGCTGTCCGTCCGGCGCCGGGATCGGCGTCATGATCTGACCTTTCGGGTGCCTCTCGGGCCAGCGGCAACAGACCGGACGAGAGAGTGTCTCCACACGGCCCTCGGTGGCTCGACGCTGCCCGCTCGCGCCCTGATCTATCGCCCAGCCGATCAGTGATGGAGAGATGGATGGCCTGACGTCACTGCCGGGCCACCAGGAGGCCCAGCCGTCTGTCCAGACACGACGGACCGCCGCCGATAGCCTGCCAATGCTGGGAGCTGGCCACGGCCCGCGGCTGGGAGCTCCACAGCCACATAGGGATCCTAAGTCGCGAACCACAGTGCCAGCACGTCATACGTCGCCAGTTCGTCGGTTATAACGCCATCAGTCTGTTGGCAGTGACGTCATCAGTCCGTCGGCCGTGACGTCATCAGTCTGTTGGCCGTGACGTCGTCAGTCTGTCGGCCGTGACGTCATCGGTCTGCCGCTGTGACGGCGGCAGCGTGGAAGAACGTCGATCGAGCCGCGTCACTCCGGCAGAAAGTGATTCGGAAGGGCGGCCGACGTGCGTGCGAGACGAGGCGTGGCATGGCGTGAAGGCGGCGTGTGAGGCGCCAGGAGGAGGCGTGAAAGAGCGGGCGCGTGGCCGACATGGCGCCTTGAAGCGTTGGGTGCTGCGCCGCGGAGCATGCTGTGACGTAGGCGAGGCGAACAAGGCGCTGATGGAGTATGGAGGTGTGACGATGCATGGTGCGAAGCTCAGTTCAAGCAGAGGGAGAGCGAAGCCCGCGCAATGGTGTCCAGTGCGAATCGGGACATAAGGGCCACGCAGCGTAAGACGCGGCGGCGCTCGACAAGACGAGACGGAGACACAAAGTCAGAGGGCGAAGGATCCAAAGCTGGCGAATAGCATCTGGAACGAAATTACTCGCTCAAAGAGCCAGATAAGTTCAAAATGAGCAGTGTCAGACGAGCTCCCGGACAGGCCAGATCAGTGCCGCACTAGGCGCCGTGAGCTCCCCAGGCGAGCTCTCGGACAGGCCAGATCAGTGCCGCACTAGGCTCCGTGAGCTCCTCAGACGAGCTCTCGGACAGGCCAGATCAGTGCCGCACTAGGCTCCGTGAGCTCCTCAGACGAGCTCTCGGACAGGCCAGATCAGTGCCGCACTAGGCTCAGTGAGCTCCTCAGATGAGCTCCTGGGCAGGGCCAGGTCAGTGCCGCACTAGGCCTCCGTGAGCTCCGCAGACGAGCTCCCGGACAGGCCAGGTCAGTGCCGCACCAGGCCTCCGTGAGCTCCGCAGACGAGCTCTCGGACAGGCCAGATCAGTGCCGCACTAGGCCTCCGTGAGCTCCTCAGACGAGCTCTCCGGACAGGTCATGATCAGTGCCGCACTAGGCCTCAGTGAGCTCCTCAGATGAGCTCGTTCCTGGGCAGGCCAGGTCAGTGCCCCACTAAGGCTCCGTGAGCTCCGCAGACGAGCTCCCGGACAGGCCAGGTCAGTGCCGCACTAGGCTCCGTGAGCTCCTCAGACGAGCTCTCGGACAGGCCAGGTCAGTGCCGCACTTGCTCCGTGAGCTCCTCAGACGAGCTCCCGTACAGGCCAGGTCAGTGCAGCACCAGGCTCCGTGAGCTCCCCAGACGGCGACAGGCCCGGGATATCTGACCCACCCCAAGACCGCCCGCCAGCCGCGGGTGCGCATCTCGACGCTCGGGCGCCCTGTCACGAGCTGATGGCTGCCGACGGATGTAAGGTCGAGGACCAGGCGCTGGCGGCGCGCCAAACGGCAGACGGCGAGACGGCGCCGCGAACCGGAGCGGTGCAGCGCCGCC